CAGTTACACCCGCACTCGTCTCACCCGGTTCCCCTTGCACCCCTCTTCCTGGTACCAGTCCCCCCCCCGGTAGACCCACTCCCCCTGCAGGGTCCTGCTCCCTCAGGTGTGTCTCAGGTAGACCCACCCCCCTTGGATGAGCCAGTGGAGATCTCTTCTGACTCCTCTGGCCCAGCTGAGGGGGGTGACCCCGTCGCAGACGACACGGCGACCTCTCGCCGCTCTCCGCGCTTGGAGACCCCCTCGGGTTTTCCGCCTCGACAGTCTTAGCCGCCGCCGCGGCCTGCTACTGTGGACACTGGAGCTGAGACTGCTGGTGCTGAGCCTGGGGGTACTGTGCCTGAGGTTGCCCGCTCTCCTCGCTTGGAGACCCCCCCTGGTTTCCCGCCGCGGCCGTCTTCGCCGCCTCAGCAGCCTGCTGCTGTGGACCCTGGGGCTGCTGTTGGTTGTGACACTGGGGGTGCGGGTTCTGGGGGTGCTGAGACCGAGGGTGAGGGTTCTGGGGGTGCTTCGCCTGGATGTGCTGATCCTGGGGGTGTTGCGATTCCTAGTGGCGGTGGAGCTGTGGGTGACCCTGCTGGAGGACGTAGAGCTGGACAGTCCAGTCCACCTGAGGCGCCCTCGCCGGAGTGGATCCGTGCGTGGATCGTTCGGCGTGGCAGTCCTGGTGGTGGAGGGCTCGGTCCTGGTGGTGTTGGAGGTACTCCTGGACGTGCTGCAGGTGCTGGAGGTGCTGGAGCTGCTGGTCCTGCTGCTGGTGCTGGAGGTACTGGAGGTGCTGCTGGTGCTGGAGGACGTGGAGCTGCTGGTGCTGGAGGTGCTGGAGGTGCTGGAGATGCTGCTCCTGCTGCTGGTGCTGGAGGTCCTGGAGGTGCTGCTGGTGCTAGAGGACGTGGAGCTGCTGGTGCTGGAGGTGCTGGAGCTGCTGGTGCTGCTGGTGCTGGAGGTGCTGGTCCTGCTGCCGGTGCTGGAGGTACTGGAGGTGCTTCTGGTGCTGGAGGACGTGGAGCGGCTGGTGCTGCTGGTGCTGGAGGTGCTGGAGGTGCTGGAGCTGCTGCTCCTGCTGCTGGTGCTGGAGGTATTGGAGGTGCTGCTGGTGCTGGAGGACGTGGAGTTGCTGGTACTGTAGGTGCTGAAGGTGCTGGAGCTGCTGCTCCTGCTGCTGCTGCTGGAGGTCCTGGAGGTGCTGCTGGTGCTAGAGGACGTGGAGCTGCTGGTGCTGGAGGTGCTGGAGCTGCTGGTGCTGCTGGTGTTTGAGGTGCTGGTCCTGCTGCCGGTGCTGGAGGTACTGGAGGTGCTGCTGGTGCTGGAGGACGTGGAGCTGCTGGTGCTGCTGGTGCTGGAGGTGCTGGAGGTGCTGGAGCTGCTGCTCCTGCTGCTGGTGCTGGAGGTACTGGAGGTGCTGCTGGTGCTGGAGGTACTGGAGGTGCTGCTGGTGCTGGAGGACCTGGAGCTCTTGGTGCTGCTGGTACTGGAGGTACTGGAGGTGCTGGTGCTCCTGGTGCTGGAGGTGCTGCTGGGAGTGTTGGAGGAGCTGCTCGTGTTGGAGGTACGGGAGCTGCTGGTGCTCTTCGCCACCTTCTCAGTCTTCCGCCAGGTGCTACTGACTTCCCTGTGGCAGGTACTACTCCTCCGTTACTGTTTCCACCGGCAGACCAGTCACAGCTGCCGCTGCTACCGCGCTCCCCACTGCCTGCTCCTGCTCCTTACACTGCGGTGACACAGTCCTTGACTGAGCGTCGAGAGCCTGAGACTCGTGCTTCCACCCCTGAGCGTCGAGAGCCTGAGTCTAGCTTTGACCTTGAGCCCGAGCCTAGAGCTGCTGTCCGTGCTCGTGTTCCTCGTGTTCGTCGTCAACGTGCTCCGGCTGTCCCGGGCACTCACGATATGACACTCCGTCCTTCCTCTGTTCCACAGCGTGTTGTCCTGCCGTTACCTCCTGCGTCCTCTCTTCCTGACGTTGCTGACCCTCCGTCTGACCTTGCTCGTGCGTCCAGTCCGACTGTTACTCGCTTTCTTGCTACGGTTGTGACTGACCCTTCGTTCTCGTCTCTTGCTGCGTCTGCCTTAGTCGCTGAGCTAGTCGACTTTGCTGCTGCGTACCGCCTAGACTACCTTGCGAGTCTTGTTTCTGACCCTGTCCCTGCCTGTCCTCCGTCCATCGGGGGTGAGACTGCCCTTGGCTGTACTGCCCTTGGCTGTGACGTTCTTGAGGACAGGCAGGAGGAGCTGGAGTGACTTGCAACCGCTGTACCTCATCTCGCTACCATGCTGCTTGCCCCTGAGGGAGACCCGGATGCACTTGACATCCCCACCCCGCGCTCTTACAGAGAGGCGATCTGGGGTGAGTACTCCTCTCAGTGGCAGACAGCCATGGATGCAGAGATGGCTTCCTGGAAGTCCACAGGCACCTACGTCGACGAGGTTCCCCCTCCGGGGGCGAACATCGTCAGTGGCATGTGGATTTTCAGGGTGAAGCGGCCGCCGGGTTCTCCGCCTGCCTTCAAGGCACGTTACGTTGCTCAAGGTTTCAGTCAGCGTGAGGGAGTTGACTTCTTTCAGACCTTCTCCCCCACCCCGAAGATGACCACTCTTCGGGTGTTGCTACACGTAGCACAGCGCGACTACGAGCTGCACTCCCTCGACTTCTCGACAGCTTTCTTGCAGGGTAGCCTTCACGAGGCCATCTGGTTGCGCCATCCACAGGGCTTCACTGGGTCGTTTCCTGAGGGTACCCAGTGGAGCCTACGGCAACCAGTGTACGGCCTGCGTCAGGCGCCCCGTGAGTGGCACGACACACTGAGGACTACACTTGCGGCTCTTGGTTTCGTTCCCTCGACTGCTGACCCCTCGCTGTTTCTGCGCACAGACACTTCTCTGCAGCCGTTCTACATCCTCGTGTACGTCGACAACTTGGTTTTTGCTACTGCTGACACTGAGGCACTGGCCCGCGTGAAGACGGAGCTGCAGGAGAGACACACCTGCACTGACCTGGGTGATCTGCGGAGCTATCTTGGCTTGCAGATCACCCGGGACAGAGCACGGCGCACCATCACCCTGACGCAGTCACACATGGTGCACCAGGTCCTTCAGCGGTTTGACTTTACGTGGTCCTCGCCGCAGCCCACTCCTCTGTCTACCGGCCACTCGCTCTCAGCTCCACCTTCGAACGAGTCCGTAGAGCCGAGTGGTCCGTACCCAGAGCTTGTGGGTTGCCTCATGTACCTGATGACGTGCACACGACCTGACCTCGCGTACCCTCTCAGCCTTCTGGGTCGCTACGTGGCTCCCGGTAGACACCGAAAGGTGCACTTTGATGCTGTGAAGTATGTACTGCGTTACTTGTGCAGTACATCGGGCATGGGGCTCGTGCTTGGAGGACGGGGTTCAGTGGTACTCACAGGACACTCCGACGCTTCTTGGGCCGACGACCAGGCAACTCAGCGTTCGTCACAGGGTTACACCTTCAGTCTTGGCTCTGGTTCTGTCTCATGGAGGTCCACTCGTTCTTCTTCTGTGCTTGGTTACAGCTATGAGGCCGAGGTCTACACTGGGGCCATGGCTGCACAGGAGCTACGCTGGCTGACCTACCTGCTGACCGACTTGGGGGAGCGGCCTCGTTCTCCTCCAGTTCTGTACGTCGACAACAATGCAATGCTTGCCTTGTGTCGCGAGCAGAGACTGGAGTACAGAACGAAGCACATTGCTCTTCGCTACTTCCTTGCGCGTGAGCTGCAGCAGCGTGGTCAGCTGCGCCTTGCTTACGTGGCCTCTCAGGCCAACACTGCTGATGTCTTCACCAAGGCCCTTGGGTCTGGTGATCATCAGCGTTTCTGCACTGCTCTTGGGCTTGTACCCACTCTGCCTCACCTGCTGGTTGCTTGACTTTCTCTTGTTGTACACTGATTTATATCTTTATACCTGCATGTTGACTCTTGCTAGGTTGTGATGAGTGTACTGCCTTGCTATTATACCTCTGCATGTGAACTGGCCTTGTGGCCGCTTGCTTGTGCTCAGATTGTGTGGTGTCCTTGAGATCCACCTTGAGCTTTGCTTTGCTTTGTTCTCTTGCTTGACTGGTCTTGTGACCATCTGTTGTGTTTGCTATCTCCCACCTAGCCTATGGGGGTGTGTCAAACTACTTTTGTACTTGTGTAGGTTGTAGTGGGTTAGCCTATGTAGGGTACAACCCATTTAGGGTTGGTACTTGTATCTTCACCTGCTCTATACAATTCATTTCTGCACAGTTGATTCTGACATTATATAGTGACTACCCTAGCTAGGAGGGAACCTCGAGAAATGAGGTTGGGTGCAGGTTTGGCGATCGGAAAGCCGAAGGCGACGCGAGGAGCCTCGGCATCGTTGATGTCGGCCGAACGTGTAAGTCCGAAAATCGTGGTTGTACGCGTAGCAGTCAAGCCCGATAAGGAATTCGGGTATAATCCTTACATGGTGTTGACGTACGCAGAAAGGAATGCCTCAAAATTCCTTACAATTCACTTCCTTATAAACTTTGACAACTCATCGCAGCTTTTGACAACTCATAACAGTATCAAACTTCAAGTAACTTGAACTTTGACCGGGTTACCATTCTAATCTCAAGCTTCAGGCTCGATGCTTGACTTCACTACACGTTGCCCTCGAACTGTTTGTCGCAAATTGTGTGTCGCAAATGCTGGTTCTTCCCAAACCTCGAGGCTCTTGCGTTGACTATTTGATTGAGTTCTCCATGGCAAACATTTGGGATCGACCCACAGGTACAGCAGGGTGCTTTCTTGCTCTGATCTGACCTTCAGCCATGTTGACCAACAGCCGGGTTGCGGCCGACAGCCGGGTCATTATCTTACCATAACTTTGTTCTGTCCTTCGCACACCACTGGTTGATCGTGTCTCTTCACGTGTTCCATCGCTATACTTAACTACCGTCGAAGCATTTTCTCCAATGAGTTTCACACTTCTCCATTTTCTAGGACCTTCCTTGCCTATCGAGGTTGCTCGCCATGGCGCAGCAAGCTCCGCAAAGCGCGAGAGACAACGTTCTGAGGCAATCCGATGCCAGTGCCGTGGACAAGGACGCGCCACGTGTGCGCGGATACACGTTCGAAGAGGCAGGAGGGGCGGGGTCGGTGGTGGTCGATTACGAGCAGCTGATGGGCCGAATGGGGACGACAGGCTTCCAAGCCACTGCTTTGGGCCGGGCTATTGACGAAGTCAATCGAATGGTGAGACCGCGAGTCCCGCTTCTCACGCTCATATGATTGCCGCCGGCGGCGACGCGGAGGAGGGTGGTTCCTACTTTCCGTGCCCTCCCTTCCGCTGCCATTTCATATCCCACACCCATCTCGGGCCGTTACTCCTGTTCTCTCCCCAGCTCGCATGGCGGTTGTGCGGCAACCCTTCCAAGCCACGCGAGGAGGAGAGCCCCCTCCCCGCTGCCTGCGATTGCCCTCTCTCGCGAAACCTCTGTCCCACACACCTGTTCCTCGTCTCTCATCCGTCATCCCTTGTAGCTGGCGTGGCGACTGAGCGACGACCCGGTGAAGGCCGACGCGAAGGAGGAGGAGAAGGACCCGGCGTTCCGCGCGGGCGTGCGGTGCAAGATCTTCCTGGGCTTCACGTCCAACCTCATCAGCTCCGGCCTGCGCGAGACGCTCTGCTTCCTCGCCAAGCACCGACTCGTGAGTCGCCAGCCCCACCACTCGCGGGAACGACGCACGGAAACGACGGACCCTACCTTCGGCTCCCCATGCTCCTGCATTGGTGGTTTTCTTGTTTGCTGACGTCGACTGGAGTCGCGTTTTTATGGAATTCTCAGTTCATTGTGAATGCATTCTTCCAATCCGGCCACGCTCTCAGGTGGATGTGATTGTGACTACAGCGGGGGGGATTGAAGAGGACATTATAAAGTGCCTGGCGCCCACGCTGCTGGGCGACTTCGCCCTGGCGGGCAAGGACCTGCGCGCCAAGGGGCTGAACCGCATCGGCAACCTGATCGTGCCCAACAGCAACTACTGCCTCTTCGAAGACTGGATGGGCCCCGTGCTGGACCGCTGCTTGGACGATCAGAAGACGCAGGTGAGCGGAGCGACAGGGGGAGATTGGAGGGAAGAAAAACAATTGACGTGATGTGGGGAACCAAAGTAGCAATATACACGTAACCATACTGACGACCAGCTGGTGCCACTTCCACACACATGACAGACTGCGCAGTCGATTCTCTGCTTTTCGAGCCGCCTAAGAATTCCCCTTTGTTTCCCTACGTTGTGCTTGCGTTGCGTGGTGCACCACCAGGGCGTGGTGTGGACGCCGTCGAAGCTGATCGAGCGCATGGGAGAAGCCATCGGGCACGAGGAGTCGGTGCTGTACTGGGCGCACAAGGTCCGTCATCGCCGCACATCCTCCTCACCCACATTTTCATTCTTGTCCCCGTCCCCTCGCACACCTGCCCCTCCTCGCACACGCGCATCTTCCCTTGATCTCCCCCAGCCTCACACCCTCGCGCTCCCTTGCACGCACATAAGCATCTCCTCTTGAATAGCGTTTCCCCAGCCTCAGCCTCATGCGCCATTCCCGTGCGCACACTCCCGCCATCCTCGCTGTCTCCCTGCGTGCTCCCCCACCGCCCATCTGCACCGTGCAGAACCGCATCCCGGTGTTTTGTCCGGCGATCACGGACGGGTCCATCGGCGACATGCTCTACTTCCACTCCTACTCCTCGCCCGGCCTCGTGCTCGACCTCGTGCAAGGTCAGCGCGTCGCTGCACCTGCTGGGCTTGCTGCTGCTGTGCCTCTTCGACACGGTGCTGCCGCGCCCATGCATTGCATCGCTTTTCCCCTCCCCGTCTCCTCTTCCCTGTTACGGGAATTCTGCATTCCTTGTTTCTGCATTTCCAGGTTATGCGCTTCCTCCCCCCACCCCATCCCCTTTCCTCCTCCCTCCAGTCTCCGCTTCCCTCTTTGCAGTTCCCTCATCGCTCTTCAACCTACCGCCAAGTACATGTTCCCCTCCGCGCAGATGTGCGGCGGATGGACGACGAGGCGGTGCAGGCGGACCCGCGGCGCACGGGCGTGATCATCCTGGGGGGCGGGCTGCCGAAGCACCACATCTGCAACGCCAACATGATGCGCAACGGCGCGGACTACGCTGTGTACATCAACACCGCCAATGAGTTTGACGGCAGCGACTCGGGTGCCAGGCCCGATGAAGCAGTCAGCTGGGGGAAGATCCGCGTGGAGGCCAAGGCTGTCAAGGTCAGTCTGCGATGCGCACGGAGGGGCATGCCACCACGCACACCAACAGGGAAGAGTTTTGCTAGTGAGCGTGATAGTACTTATTTGTGGGTGCAGTTTCCGGAGCTGCCAGTTGGGGAAAGGTTAGAGACCCAGTGGGTGAAGTCGCCATCAACCTGAGTCACAGTCAGTGCCAAACTCAAGCGCCGCATTCCTTTTCTGCTGCTCCAAGTGCCTTCCGTCCTATTGACGCACCACCCCTGCAATGAACCCCTCTGCTGTTTGAAATAAATTTTGCCATGCCCCCTCCCCACACCTCGCATTTCTTCCTTGCGCCCATCGTCCCCTCTGCCACCAGGTGTTCTGCGATGCCACCATTGCCTTCCCCTTGCTCGTAGCGGAGACCTTTGCCCGGCACCTGCAGCAGGAGCAAGCAAAGCAGAAGGAGCCGACGAAATAGGCGGCAAGCAGATAGGGAAAGGGGTGCAGGATGGGAGAAGGATATCCAAGGAATTGAAGAGCCTAAGTACTGTTGCCATGCCACATGAATGCTGCAGTAAAATTGTGACTGCATAACTTCATTAATATTTGCATGGTGTGACATGCATTTCTGCAAGACGTGACTAGCGTTTTTGCATGTTATGACTTGTAATGTAAGGAATGCTCCAGGCTACATCGGAAATGCATCGCCCCCAACCCGTATTGTAGACCCGGGGGTTTGTATTCGGGGAGGGGGGTGTCTAGCGTCTACTGTCCCGGCGGTAAAAGTGGATGAGGAATGGTTGGATAAACGAGTACTTTAAATGTACCATGTCAAAACATATATGTTTATGTTTACATTTCTCTAGGCTACATTGGAGCTATCTTTAGGGGGTATACAAACCATCTCGATACTTTCCTTGTACCCCCTCCTTTGACCTAATCGACACTTCTTCTCTCTACTCTAGTCACCTATGGCTACTAGTCTAGGCTAGATTCTAACATGGTATCAGAGCAGGTCCCATAGGACCTATTTTTTTTGCCCCGCCCCATGAAATCGCGACCGTCTGTCCGCTAGTGCCGCCCTGCCTAGCACGATCGCCCTGACCTGCCCTATGCGCGACCCGTACGCGCCTTGCTCGCGCCGCCTGCACGCACGTACGCACGTGCCCCATTTTCATGTGGCCGTTTGCAGTCCGATACGCCGCGCATCAGCTCAACCTCTAGCCCCGTGTCTCTTTGCCAGAGACCTCGCCCACACTTCGTTGGACGGGGAAGGTTGGCGATGCGTCGGTGTTTCGGGTCTGGGGCGCGCTCTCCCTTGTTCGCGATGCCAAAGCGAGCAAGCTCTCCCCTCGCACTCTCCGCTGCGTCTTCCTTGGCTTCCCCACCGACGCCCCGCCGTGGCAGTTTTACCACCCTCGCGAACGTCGTGTGTTCTCCTCCCAAGACGTCACCTTTGACGAGTCTGTCTGTTTCTACAGGCTCCACCCGCACACGTCCCACCCGGTCCCTCTGGCGCCTCTCTTCCTGGTACCAGTTCCCCCCCCGATAGACCCCCTCCCCCCGCAGGGTCCTGCTCCCTCAGGTGTGTCCCAGGTAGACCCACCCCCCTTGGATGAGCCTGTGGAGATCTCCTCTGACTCCTTTGGCCCAGGTGAGGGGGGTGACCCCGCCGCTGACGACACGGCGGCCACTCGCCGCTCTCCTCGCTTGGAGACCACCCCTGGTTTTCCGCCTCGGCCGTCTTCGCCGCCTCCGCAGCCTGCTGCTGTGGACTCTGGTACTACTGCGGGTGGTGATACTGGGGGTGCTGACTCTGGGGGTGCTGCGACTGGAGGTGCTGAGACTGCGGGTGCTGCGAGTCCTAGTGGCGGTGGAGCTGTGGGTGACCCTGCTGGAGGTCCTGGAGTTGGACAGCCACAGCAGCCTGGTCTACACGAGACGCGCTCCCCGCAGTGGCTTCGTGAGTGGATCGTCCAGCGAGGCCGTCCTGGTGGTGGTGGGTACGGTCCTGCTGGTCCTGGAGGTACTGCTGGTGCTGGAGGTGCTGGAGTTGTCAGTCCTGGAGGTCCTACTGGAGGTGCTGCTGGTGCTGGAGGTACTAGAGGTGCTGCTGCTGCTGGTGCTGGAGGTACTGGAGGTGCTACTGGTGCTGGAGGTGCTGGAGCTGCTAGTCTTGGAGGTGCTGCTGGTGCTGGAGGTGCTGGAGCTGCTACTACTGGAGGTACTACAGGTGCTGGAGGTGCTGGAGGTACTGCTAGTGCTGGAGGTACTGGAGGTACTGCTAGTGCTAGAGGTGTTGGAGCTGCCAGTCCTGGAGGTCCTACTGGAGGTGCTGCTGGTGCTGGAGGTACTCGAGGTGCTGCTGGTGCTGGTGCTGGAGGTACTGGAGGTGCTACTAGTGCTGGAGGGTGCTGGAGCTGCTAGTCTTGGAGGTGCTGCTGGTGCTGGAGGTGTTGGAGCTGCTACTACTGGAGGTGCTGCAGGTGCTGGAGGTGCTGGAGGTGCTGCTGGTGCTGGAGGTGCTGGAGCTGCTAGTACCGGAGGTACTGGAGCTGCTGCTGGGAGTGCTGGAGGTCCTGCTGGTGTTGGACCTGCTGGTGCGCTTGGCCACCTTCTCGGTCTTCCGCCAGCTCCTACTGAGTTCCTTGTCGCTGGTTCTACTCCTCCGTTACTGTTCCCACTGACAGACCAGTCTCAGCCACATCTACTGCCTCACTCCCCACTGCCTGCTCCTGCTCCTTACACTGAGGTACCCAAGTCCTTCACTGAGCGTCGAGAGCCTGAGACTCGTGCTTCCACCCCTGAGCGTCGAGAGACTGAGACTAGAGCCTCCGTTCCTGTTCGTGTTCGTCGTGTTCCTCGTCCTCGTGCTCCGGCTGTCCCAGGCACTCAGGATATGACACTCCGTCCTTCCTCTGTTCCACAGCGTGTTGTCATGCCGTCACCTCCTGCGTCCTCTCTTCCTCACGTTGCTGACCCTCCGTCTTACCTTGTTCGTGCTGCCAGCCCGACTGTCACCCGTTTTCTTGCTACGTGTGTGACTGACCCTACGTTCTCGTCGCCTGCTGCGTCTGCCTTAGTCGCTGAGCTAGTCGACTTTGCTGCTACGTACCGCCTAGACTACCTTGCGAGTCTCGTTTCTGACCCTGTCCCTGCCTGTCCTCCGTCCGTCGGGGGTGAGCTTGCCCTTAGCTATGACGTCCTTGAGGACAGACAGGAGGAGCTGGAGTGCCTTGCGGCCGCTGTACCTCATCTCGCTACCATGCTGCTTGCCCCTGAGGGAGACCCGGATGCACTTGACATCCCCACCCCGCGCTCTTATAGAGAGGCGATCTCGGGTGAGTACTCCTCTCAGTGGCAGACAGCCATGGAAGCAGAGATGGCTTCCTGGAAGTCCATAGGCACCTACGTTGACGAGGTTCCCCCTCCGGGGGCGAACATCGTCAGTGGCATGTGAATTTTCAGGGTGAAGCGGCCGCCGGGTTCTCCGCCTACCTTCAAGGCACGATACGTTGCTCGATGCTTCAGTCAGCGTGAGGGGGTCGACTTCTTTCAGACCTTCTCCCCTACCCCGAAGATGACCTCTCTTCGGGTGCTGCTGCACGTTGCAGCACAGCGCGACTACGAGCTGCACTCCCTCGACTTCTCGACTGCTTTCTTACAGGGCACCCTTCACGAGGCCATCAGGCTGCGCCGCCCACAGGGCTTCACTGGGTCGTTTCCTGAGGGCACCCAGTGGAGCCTACGCCGGCCAGTCTACGGCCTACGTCAGGCGCCACAAGAGTGGCACGACACACTGAGGACGACACTTCCGGCTCTTGGTTTCGCTCCCTCCACTGCTGACCCGTCGCTTTTTCTGCGCACAGACACTTCCCTGTCGCCGTTCTACATCCTCGTGTACGTCGACGACTTGATATTTGCTACTCCTGACACTGAGGCACTGACTCTTGTGAAGTCGGAGCTGCAGAAGAGACACACTTGCACTGACCTGGGTGAGCTGCGCAGCTATCTTGGCTTGCAGATCACCCGGGACAGAGCAAGATGCACCATCACTCTGACTCAGTCACACATGGTGCAGCAAGTCCTTCAGCGCTTCGGCTTCCAGTTCTCCTCGCCACAACCCACTCCTCTGCCTACGAGCCACTCGCTCTCAGCTCCACCTTCGGACGAGTCCGTAGAGCCGAGCGGTCCGTATCCAGAGCTTGTGGGTTGCCTCATATACCTGATGACGTGCACACGACCTGACCTCGCGTACCTTCTCATCCTCCTGGCTCGCTACGTGGCTCCCGGTCGACACCGAAAGGTGCACTGGGAAGCTGCTAAGAGGGTACTGCGTTACTTGAGCAGTACATCGGGCATGGGGCTTGTGCTTGGAGGACGGGACTCAGTGGTACTCACAGGTCACTCAGACGCTTCTTGGGCTGACGACCAGGCTACTCAGCGGTCGTCACAGGGTTACACCTTCAGTCTCGGCTCTGGCTTTGTCTCGTGGAGGTCTACCCGGTCGTCTTCGGTGCTTGGTTCCAGCTGTGAGGCCGAGATCTACCCTGGGGCTATGGCTGCACAGGAGCTACGCTGGCTGACCTACCTGCTGACCGACTTGGGGGAGCGGCCTCGTTCTCCTCCAGTTCTGTACGTCGACAACAAGGCCATGCTTGCCTTGTGTCGCGAGCAGAGACTGGAGCACAGAACGAAGCACATTGATCTTCGCTACTTCCTTGCGCGTGAGCTGCAGCAGCGTGGTCAGCTCCGCCTTTCCTACGTGGCCTCTCGGGCCAACACTGCTGATGTCTTCACCAAGGCCCTCGGGTCTGGTGATCATCAGCGTTTCTGCACTGCTCTTGGGCTTCTGCCCACTCTGCCTCACCTGTTTGTCTCTTTATCTTGCACTTGTTGTTGACTGATATATATCTTTATACCTGCATGTTTGCTCTTGCTAGGTTGTGATGAGTGTACTGCCTTGCTATTATAACTCTTCATGTGAACTGGCCTTGTGGCCGCTTGCTTGTGCTCGGAGTGTGTGGTGTCCTTGAGATCCATCCTGAGCTTTGCTTTGTTTGCTCTTCTTGACTGGTCTTATGACCATTGCTTGCTCTGGCTTTCCCGTATTTCGCCTATGGGGGTGTGTCAAAACATATATGTTTATGTTTAGATTTCTCTAGGCTACATTGGGGCTATCTTTAGGGGGTATAGAAACCATCTCGATACTTTCCTTGTACCCCCTCCCTTGACCTAATCGACACTTCTTCTCCTCTCTACTCTAGTCACCTATGGCTACTAGTCTAGGCTAGATTCTAACATACCACTACTTTAGGTAGACCAGTTTGAAAAGAAAATGCAATGGCAGCAGCTAAAATAGTGATCCCCATCCCAACTTGAAAATGAGTATTTTCGTAAGCCCATTGAAGCGAGCGAGAACACTGTTTCAACCAACCTGGGCCAGTCAAGTAGAATGGGACTTCCGACTTCCGAAGGATGAGGTTCCTGGTTCAAACCCCCGTTGCTCGACGCCACTTGGGCTGCTCCCCTCCGACCGAGCACATCTTCTTTCCGCTTCCTTCTCGACCTGGCCAGACTGCCCCGTGGAGCCTACTGGTCGGAGCTGCTGCCAAGACCCTCTGGAACGCCCGCTATGCTCAGAGATCCAACAACGTTGTTACCTCCCGCTTCGAGGTCTTGCAACTCATCCTCGCGCAGTTTCTCTTAGCCTTCAAAATTTTCCTCTGGAGACGCTCTAAGCAATCTGCCAAGAAACAACAGAAAACAGCGTCTCGCATTCAGGCGGCTGGCCGGCTACGATTCATATCTTTTGCTGCTGATGGTTCCCCCACAATCCATCCGGACCTACGCATCTCTTGGCTGCTTGGAAACCCCTTTCGTCCGCCCTAACTTGTTCTCGTTTCGTCACAGAATACTCCCTAGCAAAGCTGGTGGCTGTCCGCTAGGATAGGAGAATAACGTGTTCAATCACGTACGCCAAACGGTCGTTGGCTAGCTTAGCCGTATTCTCAGTTATTCTGTGTTTTGTATGTAACTGATTAAGATCTTAATATATTCCTATTCCTGGTTCAAACCCTAGTGCTGGCGAGTTCTGCCAGCCCCCCAGAAGGGGGTTTCGCACTGCTCATCTGGGAGTGGATATATTCCTACCTCGATACCCAGCGAAGCGTATAAATTAGTGGGTAGGCGGATTAAAGCCCAAGACCTGAATTACAAAAAAAAGAAGGCAAACTGTGCACAGTTTGCCTACCGAACCCACAATTGACTTCCTGAGCCAGGCTGGTTACCAGAAAAGATCGCATACAAAAAACACTGAGTCGTGGAGCAGAACAGGTTTGGTTGGCGAGAGTCCCAACCACACCCTCCTGAAGGAACAACCGCTCAAAGTGTGCACAGTTTGCCTAGATGGTAATTCAGGTCGTGCTTTAGTCATAGTACTCGTAGATCATGCGAAGAGACAGAATAAAACGCCACAAAAGCATAGGCCATGAGCACTTTCACCTTTATTACGGGACCTGCAATAACTCCAGGCGTATATATCCTACGGCCAAAATAGAGACCCTGACGGGGGGATGGTGGTCGTAGCTTATCGGCATGACAGCAACGCGAGGGCGTATCACGTTTACTCACTCGGTCGCCCTGGCATCGCCCTTCCGCAAACATCGCATTTGACCCTATCGCCTTCCGCGTCCCCCACGCTTCCCCCCACCATCTCTCACACACCCCCCCACGCACACCCACGCTTCCCCTCACCGTCGCCCAAGCTCTTCCCCACCGTCGCTCACGCTTCCTCCTGCCTTCACCCACGCTTCCCCACATCGTCGCTCACGCCTTCCCCCACCTTCCCTCACGCTTCCCCGCTCATCGCCCACGCTTCCCCCCGCCGTCGCCCACGCTTCCCCCCGCCGTCGCCCACGCTTCCCCCCGCCGTCGCCCACGCTTCCCCCCGCCGTCGCCCACGCTTCCCCCCGCCGTCGCCCACGCTTCCCCCCGCCGTCGCCCACGCTTCCCCCCGCCGTCGCCCACGCTTCCCCCCGCCGTCGCCCACGCTTCCCCCCGCCGTCGCCCACGCTTCCCCCCGCCGTCGCCCACGCTTCCCCCCGCCGTCGCCCACGCTTCCCCCCGCCGTCGCCCACGCTTCCCCCCGCCGTCGCCCACGCTTCCCCCCGCCGTCGCCCACGCTTCCCCCCGCCGTCGCCCGCGCTTCCCCCCGCCGTCGCCCACGCTTCCCCCCGCCGTCGCCCACGCTTCCCCTCGCCGTCGCCCACGCTTCCCCCCGCCGTCGCCCACGCTTCCCCCCGCCGTCGCCCACGCTTCCCCCCGCCGTCGCCCACGCTTCCTCCCGCCGTCGCCCACGCTTCCTCCCGCCGTCGCCCACGCTTCCTCCCGCCGTCGCCCACGCTTCCTCCCGCCGTCGCCCACGCTTCCTCCCGCCGTCGCCCACGCTTCCTCCCGCCGTCGCCCACGCTTCCTCCCGCCGTCGCCCACGCTTCCTCCCGCCGTCGCCCACGCTTCCTCCCGCCGTCGCCCACGCTTCCTCCCGCCGTCGCCCACGCTTCCTCCCGCCGTCGCCCACGCTTCCTCCCGCCGTCGCCCACGCTTCCCCCCGCCGTCGCCCACGCTTCCCCCCGCCGTCGCCCACGCTTCCCCCCGCCGTCGCCCACGCTTCCCCCCGCCGTCGCCCACGCTTCCCCCCGCCGTCGCCCACGCTTCCCCCCGCCGTCGCCCACGCTTCCCCCCGCCGTCGCCCACGCTTCCCCCCGCCGTCGCCCACGCTTCCCCCCGCCGTCGCCCACGCTTCCTCCCGCCGTCGCCCACGCTTCCTCCCGCCGTCGCCCACGCTTCCCCCGCCGCCGCCCACGCTTCCCCCCGCCGTCGCCCACGCTTCCTCCCACCGTCACCCTTCATCACACCACCGTCACCCACGCTTCCCCCCACCGTCGCCCACGCTTCCCCCCACCGTCGCCCACACAACCCCTCCCATCGCCCTCCCGGTCGCCCGGAAATCTCCCTTCCCGCCGACCTCCCTTCCCTCCCACCTCTCTCCACGTCGTCATCACTCCCCTGCCTATCACGTTCCCCCTCATCATCACCATCGCTTCTCCACCCACGCCGCCCACCCTCTCATCCCTTCCTATCATATTTAGGTTCGTCGTTGCGACGGGACCCATTGCCGCATTTGGTCGCTCTCGCTCTCCCCATTGCCACCTTCTCTACTCCTACCACCCCACCCTTGCACCCTCCTTTCCTTCTCTCTCATTCTCCCTCCCCCCCTGCCTCTCACCCACCCTGGCCGCGGACGTATGACGGGCCGGTCTCGAGCGCTGGGGATGGGGTCGTGACTCGTTCGCTGTGGGATGTGGGAGGGTGCGTGGTCAGCAGCACCCACCCTTCTCTCTCTTGCACCAACCCCGCACGCATGGCAGGTGCTGCTGAGGCTTTGGAGCAGAGCGCTGGGCGCACAGCCGTGGCAACGCGTGCAGTCGGGCAGCAAGGAGCGCAGTGCTGCCGGGGGCGGGGCAGGGGAGGCGGGGTTTGGCGGGGCAGGGGAGGCGGAGGGGAGGGAGAGAGGGTCCAGCGATCCTCCTATCCCCCGTTTACCCATATACCCTGCCACACTTTTACCTCTTGCCCTCCTCCCTTACTCTTTTCGTTTGTTCCCCCACAGTCGGAGGGTCCTCCCTTCTCCGTTGTGAAGGCACCGCTGCAGGTGGACGGGGTGACGTGACACGTGACGCGGGAATGGGTGGGCTACCTGCATGTGATGTGCATGGTTATGCCCAGCAAGCCGCCGTCCTGTTCCGGTTTTCATACTCGCGTGCTCTGCTGACTATCATTGGTCATGACCCACATAAAAACGCATTGGACCCATGTTTGAGCAACACCCCACCTTCCCGGCCTGCACCATCAGAGGTCGGCTCTTTCTCCCCCTCGTTCTTCTGCCTGCATCCAGCGCTTCACTTGTACTGCAGTGTGCCCCTGCCTCTTTGGCGCCTCAGGTCTTTCCTTCCTCCCTCGTCATATGGCTGGGGTACTTTATCGTTGCATCTTCATCCCCCAACCCACTTCCCCACCCAACCCCCCATCCCCTGTTCCCCATCCATGCTCATTCCCTGTTCCCACAACCCATCACCCATCCCAGGCACACCAGAGTGAGTGTAGGTGAGATCTCTCGCAACGAGCTGCGCATCCCCTTCCAGTGCCCTCATCCATCCTCACATCCACCCTTCCTCTCTTCCACCCCTCCACTCATCCTCCCTTCATCTCATCCGCCCTTCCTCTCATCCTCCCTTCCTCTCATCCTCCCTTCTTCTCATCCTCCCTTCCTCTCATCCTCCCTCCCTCTCATCCGCCCTTCCCTCTTCCTCCCTTGCGAGGCGCAAGTCAAACGACGGCGCGGCGAGATTTCACCGGCTGCTGCTCAACTTTGGCAAGAAGTACGGGTGGGCTTGAACGAGCTGCTCTATCTTGTCAATGAGACAGGGCAGTGTGGAAGCTAGGCGCTGGTACTCAATAAGAAGCTACGGAAGGGGAGGTATTGCAAGCAGTATTGCAGGGAAGGGAATGCTGTTGTTTAGGTTAGAGAATCTGTTTGATTTTTGTGTACTACAGGGCCCAAATTATCAGGGTAAAATACCCTTTTTGCCCTGATGGCAGGCCGCTTTTTCCCAGTTACCCTTGCCAAATCAGGGTATTGAATTTTTTACCCTAGTGAAATCAGGATAAGCTGTGAAGTACACTGATAACGAATTTGATTACCCTGACGGTATCAGGGTACGATGCCAACTACACTGATACCGACAATTTTTTTACTGCGGATTCTGCCACATATCGCGTGCAGACAGAAATCACCACGGGTCCACTGCCACACTTGTCTCTATCGACCACAGGCGCACGACCGTCAAACTTTGGCGGCGGGCGGCAAGCTTGCTCGTCCAATTGGTCCTTAGAGCCCCTGTTGCGCCAACACACCCGGGTTTAGGGCCACACGTAGCCAAGTGGTGCCTATTTGCACGCCAAGTGTATTTCGTGATGTCCTATGCATCACATGGCAGTCGATATTGTGCTGCTGCAGCAACTGCCATGCATTTCCCGTGGTTGCCAGTGCGCCAGGCACTGAGTACTTGTGTTTGCATTGCTTAAGTAGTTATATGGACTGTTACATGAGAAAGTAATGAGTTAGACCTATTGCAATTCAAACAGCCTAACAACAATTCTACCCTGGTACAATCAGTGTAACGGAATTTTTAGGCTGTTTTAGGCTGCTGGCATCAGGGTACGGAAATTTTTACCCTAAGGGTTAGGGTACGGGGGGCCTGGTACCCTGATTTGCAAGAGTGGACCTGAACCTATTTTGGGCCCTGGTGTACTATCAGTAACCATGAAATGTACTTTACAGCCCACAACAACAACCTCTCTTGTCCATACCCACAACATAAACAATTAGGGGTCAAGGAGCCAAGTTTTTGAAACGTCAGCCCTGCTCCTGGATCTGGGTGGAACAACCAAGCAGCCAGCCCTCCACCACCGCCCATTCCTGGGTGTGTGCAGCCACTGCCAGCCCTATGATATGCAAGCTAACAAGGCGCTGTGTACACTCTGTTTCTAGCTACCGGTACATGGAGTGCAGTGACTGTTGTGCTTTGCCCTATGACATTCAATGCAAGGATACAGTGAATTGTGTACACTCTGTTTCTCGCTACATGGAATGCAGTCGGTTGTAAATCTCATTGGCTACTCGTTGAATGGCGGCCATGCGATGCAGCACCCCAACACACGCTCCCACATCGCCTCGCCCATACGCCTGGTCAAATCTGCCATGCAGCCCTTCCACTCTTTCCTGGGATGTGAGGGCGGAGGGATGGGATGTGAGGGCGGAGGGATGGGATGTGAGGGCGGAGGGATGGGATGTGAGGGCGGAGGGATGGGATGTGAGGGCGGAGGGATGGGATGTGAGGGCGGAGGGATGGGATGTGAGGGCGGAGGGATGGGATGTGAGGGCGGAGGGATGGGATGTGAGGGCGGAGGGATGGGATGTGAGGGCGGAGGGATGGGATGTGAGGGCGGAGGGATGGGATGTGAGGGCGGAGGGATGGGATGTGAGGGCGGAGGGATGGGATGTGAGGGCGGAGGGATGGGATGTGAGGGCGGAGGGATGGGATGTGAGGGCGGAGGGATGGGATGTGAGGGCGGAGGGATGGGATGTGTGGGCGGAGGGATGGGATGTGAGGGCGAAGGGATGGGATGTGAGGGCGGACGTATGGGATGCGCGGGCGGAGGTATGGGATGCGCGGGCCGAGGGATGGGAAAACGGAGCGACGGGAAGGGAAATGAGGAAGGGTGGAAAGGAGACACAGATAGAGAGGGCATGGAGAGTGGAGGCTCGAAGCGCCATTTTCGCGGAATGGAAAGCGCGTACACGAACGGAAGTGCCGCGCTAGCGCGGCATGGGAGTTTCCTAGACACCGACGGGAAATGAGTGCAAGGGGGAAGGGAAATGAGGAAGGGTGGATGAATGGTAAGGAGGAACGGATGGTTGGTTTGTACGGAGACACAAAGGTAGGGAGAAAGAGAGTGCGACGAAGAGGGGGAGGTTCTTACCATGCGAAGCGCGAAAGGTGGGGCTGAGTTTACGACGCATGGATTCGCTCCGGTGCTCTTGAATAGTCTTCTGCGCGAGAAGGGCGTGCGTGTATGGCGTGTGAGAAAGGTGTGCGAGAAACGCGCCTGTGCGAAAAGTCAGTGGGGTGACGGGGGGGGGGGCAAATGAAGGCAACGGGGGGGGGGAATGAAGGCAATGGGGGGGAAGTGAAGGCGACGGGGGGGGGGAGGGGGGGGGGAAGTGAAGGCGACGGGAGGGGGGAAGTGAAGGCGAAGGGAGGGGGAAATGAAGGCAACGGGGGGGAGAAGTGAAGGCGACGGGGGGGGGGGGAGGAAAGTGAAGGCGAGGGGAGGGGGAACGTGAAGGCGACGGGGGGGAGAAGTGAAGGCGACGGGAGGGGGAAATGAAGGCAACGAGCGGGGGAAGTGAAGGCGACGGGAGGGGGAAGTGAAGGCGACGGGAGGGGGGAAGTGCTCGGACGGGCCGTCACCTCGCTACCTTCACTAGGCAGCCGGGGTCGGACCTGTACACACTGACCACTGAGTCCCCTCAGGTAGCTGCGTCTGCGTCTGCGTCAGGTCAGTTGTCTGCCCCCTGCTCGTGTCGCTCTCTGGCGCACGAGACTGTCCTCTGGCACCAACGCCTTGGTCACCCGTCCGTGCAGCGCCTTCGTGCCATGCACAAACGGTACCTTGTCTCTGGTCTTCCCCGGGTACTCCCTCCCCTACCGCCCTCGCCTGCTCCTCCCTGTCTTCCTTGTGTCGAGGGGCGGCAGCGCGCCGCTCCTCACTCCTCCTCGTTTCCCCCGACGATTGCTCCCTTGCAGACGCTCCACATGGACGTGTGGGGCCCAGCCCGCGTTCGTGGACAGGGTCAGGAGCGGTACTTCCTGATCGTTGTTGACGACTTCTCGCGCTACACCACGGTCTTCCCCTTGCGCACCAAGGGTGAGGTCCCTGCTGTTTTGATCCCTTGGATCCGCGCTTCTCGTCTCCAGCTCAGCGAGCGGTTCCACTCGGACTTTCCTATCTTGCGTCTGCACTCTGACAGAGGTGGTGAGTTCTCCTCCGACCTCTTGGCAGCCTACTGTGCGGAGCACGGTATTGAGCAGTCGTTCACGCTTCCGGCCTCTCCACAGCAGAATGGGGTTGCTGAGCGCCGCATTGGCTTGGTCATGGAGGTCGCTCGTACCTCCTTGATCCATGCGGCTGCCCCCCACTTTCTGTGGCCGTTTGCAGTCCGCTACGCTGCGCATCAGCTCAACCTCTGGCCCCGTGTCTCCTTGCCGGAGACCTCGCCCACACTGCTGTGGACGGGGGAGGTTGGCGATGCGTCGCGTTTTCGGGTCTGGGGATCTCGAGCTTTTGTCCGCGATACGTCTGCGGACAAGCTCTCCTCCCGCGCTGTTCCTTGTGTCTTCCTTGGCTTTGTCCCGGACGCGTCTGGTTGGCAGTTTTACCACGCCACCTCGCACCGTGTCCTGCCCTCTCAGGACGTCACTTTTGACGAGTCGGTGCCCTACTACCGCCTCTTCCCCTACCGCACTGCCCCGCTCCCTCCCCCGCCTCTCTTCCTCGCGCCAGGTGCTGCTGTGGTAGACCCCCTCCCCCCTCAGGGTGCCGCTCCCTCAGGTGTGTCCCAGGTAGACCCGGTTGAGCCTGTCGAGGTAGCTGTCGACTCTCGTCCTGCTAGGGGTGCTGAGCCTGAGCGTGCGGAGCCTGGGGGTGCGGAGCCTGGGGTTGCGGAGCCTGGGGGTGCTGAGCCTGGGGTTGCGGAGTCTGGGGGTGCTGAGACTGGGGGTGCTGAGTCTGGGGGTGCTGAGTCTGGGGGTGCTGAGCCTGGGAGTGCTACACCTGGAGGAGCTCTCTCCTCCGCGCAGCTGCGTGAGTGGTACTTACAGTATTGCAGCCTCAGGAGAGGTGCTTCTGGCGCTCGGAGCGCTGCTGGAGCTGGTGCTAGTGCTTCCCCTCCTAGGCGGGCGCTGCCCTCTCCCCTGCAGCTCCGTGAGTGGTACGCTCGGCACTGCAGTCTCCGGAGTGGCGCTCCTCACGTCGCAGACCCCGGTGCTGGTACTGGTGCTGCTGGAGCTGCTGGAGGTGTTGCTGGTGCTGGTGCTGCTGGAGCTGCAGGAGGTGCTGCTGCTGCTGCTGGTGCTTCTGGAGCTGCTGGAGGTGTTGCTGGTACTGGTGCTGCTGGAGCTGCAGGAGGTGCTGCTGCTGCTGGCGGTGCTGCTGGCGCTGCTGGAGGTGCTGCTGGTACTGGTGCGGCTGGTACTGCTGGAGCTGCTGGAGGTGTTGCTGGTGCTGGAGCTGCTGGAGGTGCTGGTACTGCTGGTGGTGCTGCTGGTGCTGGAGCTGCTGGAGCCGCCGGACTTGGAGGTGCTCGTACTGGAGGTACTGGAGCTGCTGGGACTGGAGCTGCTGAGGGGGTTGGCGCTGGAGGTGCTGAGCGACTGCTGGATGCCGCTAAGAGGGTGTTGCGCTACTTGTGCAGTACGTCGGGCATGGGGCTTGTGCTTGGAGGACGGCGCGACGTTGTCCTCACTGGACACTCAGACGCTTCTTGGGCTGACGACCAGGCTACGCAGCGGTCGTCTCAGGGTTACACCTTCAGCCTTGGCTCTGGCTCTGTTTCCTGGCGTTCTACACACTCTTCCTCTGTTCTCAGCTCCAGTTGTGAGGCTGAGATCTACGCCACAGCCATGGCTGCCCAGGAGCTACGCTGGCTCACCTACCTGCTGACCGACCTCGGAGAGCGGCCTAGTTCTCCTCCAGTGCTGTACGTCGACAACAAGGCAGCCATTGCCTTGTGTGAGGAGCACAGACTGGAGCACAGAACGAAGCACATTGCTCTGCGCTACTTCCTTGCTCGAGAGCTGCAGCAGCGTGGTCAGCTTCGTCTTACCTACGTGGCCACTCGGGCCAACACTGCTGATGTGTTCACCAAGGCACTTCAGCCTTGTGACCATCAGCGTTTCTGTACTGTTCTAGGCCTTGTGCCTACTCTCCCTCACTTGCTCACTTCTTGACTCTGCTTGTACTGTGATCTCTATATATATACCTGCATGCTTACACTTGCTAGGTTGTGATCACTGTACCTCTTGTTCTATTATCAAACTGCATGTGAACTGGTCTTGTGACCACTTGCTTGTGCTCGGAATTTGTGTGGTATCCTTGAGATCCACCCTGAGCTTTGCTTTGCTTTGACTGGTCCTGTGACCCCTTGTTCTCCCCCACTTAGCCTATGGGGGTGTGTCAAACTTTATATGTGTTATATTTGTGTAGGCTATTGTGGGTTAGCCTCTAGGGGGTACAGAACTAGGTTTGTCATACTTGTACTCACATTCTGCTGCTAGTCAATCATTCCTGTTTCGTGGATTCTGACATCCTCCCCTCCCGTCGATCCCTCTTCAGGTCCTTGTTCCCATTCCCTTGCTCTTTCCCCGTCGCCCTAGCTCTCTCGCCTCCCTTTCCGTCACCTCACGTTCTCCCCTCCCTTTCCGTTGCCCTCGCTCTCTCCCCTCCCTTTCCGTTGCCCTCGCTCCACCTCATCTCACCAACCCCAATGCCCCTCCCATCTCCCTACCACTCCGCGGATTTTGCTCACGCATCTCTCCTTTCGCGTCCTCGTTTCTGTTGCACTATCTTTCTCTTCTCTGGTCCCCTGAAATTCTCTGTTTTTCGCTTCTTTTTTTTTTCCCATGTTGTTATTGCCGCCCGAGCAGGGACATGGTCTAAGGCATTTGCTTTGCGTGAGTTGGGCTTGCTTTGCGTGAGTTGGACTTGCTTTGCACGAGTTGGACATGCTTCACGATGTCAATTTGGCACTGGATGTAAATTACTTGCACGTCGCAAGCTTTGGAGCGACGCATTTTCACATGCTTTCGACGATTTTCGTTTGAGAAGAAATGTGGAGACTCAACCAATATCATATTCGCCAGTAAAAAACAAGCAAAACTAATGCAAAATGCAAAAACAAGCAAAACGAATTCACGGTGATGTGTGACTTATTAGCTCAACTCAGCTGCTTTGGACATACCGTAAGAAGAAGAATTAAAACAAACAAACAACTTGTGCTCCTACTTCGCAACAGCAACAACCTCATTTCTGGACGGAAACTCTAAAAGTAGGAACACAACGGAATGTGTGAACTAGGGAAACAAGGGATACAAATAGCAACCCTAAAAGTGTTGTACTCCCTAAAGTGCTACTCACTGTAGCCTAAGAACCTATAATAACATTTGACACACCCCCATAGGCTAAGTGAGGGGCATCAAAGCAAGCAGGGTGAACAAACGGTCACAAGACCAGTCAATGCAAGAAGCAAAGCAAGCTCAGGGTGGATGTCAAGGACACCACACAAATTCCGAGCGCAAGCAAGCGGCTACAAGGCCAGTTCAAGAGTTCACTAGGATATATATAGCAAAGCACAACAAGCAGAGCAAACAGCAAGTCTACAGCAACCGAGGGCCTACCTCAACAAGCCCCAACTGCACACAGAACCTGTGGTGGTCACTAGGCGCCAAGGCCTTGGTGAAGACGTCGGTAGTGTTGGCCTTTGAGGCCACAAAGTCCAAGCGTGCCTGGCCGTGTCGCAGCAACTCTCGCAGGAGGAAGTACCTCACGTCAATATGCTTAACTCTGCTCTCCAATCGAGGCTCTCGACACAGGAGGATCATGACCTTGTTTTCAGCGTACAAGGTCGGTGCAGAGCAAGGCCGCTCACTAAGGTCGGCGAAAAAGAAGGTCAACCAGCGAAGCTCCTGTGCCGCCATGGCACCAGCGTAGATCTCTGCCTCTGCACTGTACGAAGCCACAGACGACGACCGTGTAGACCTCCACGACACAGCACCAGCACCCAGACTGAAGCAGTAACCCTGAGTCGAACGCTGAGTCTCCACGTCGTCAGCGTAGGAAGAGTCGCAATGACCGGTCAACACAACTGGCTGTGTCCCTCCAAGCACAAGCCCCATGCCTGATGTTGTCGCCAGGTACTTCGCCAC